AAAAAAAAAAAAAACCACAAATTCACTGCTGTCAAGTCGATTTGACTCATAGCGACCCCTGCTTGGGTTCGGAGATGGTATCAGTACGAAAGTAGATTGCCCAGTCTTCCTTTTGAGGAGTGGCTGGTGGGTTTGAACTGCCAGCCTTCTGGTTAGTAGGCAAATGCCTGAGGCACTATGCCACCAGAGCTAAAGCAAACCTATGTATTGCCTACACAATTCCTGGCTAAGGCATAAGAGCTAGAAGACATCATCCTCATCCTGGTCCTCCTTGTCATCATCATCATCCAATTTAGGGAAGGGCATAATTCAGTTTTGGGAGAAGGGATGTTTGAAAATAGCTCATGACTGTCAGGAAGCTATTTTCTTTCTCTATAGCAATTAAAATATATAAAGACAAGAAGCTTTACTCTCATTTGCCTACTTTGTCCTTTGAACATACAGACGAGCTTTGAATTACGGAAGAAGATTGGTTGAATTTGGGAAACTCAGAAGAGTTTGGACCCACCGTAGCTACAAAGCACTTTTCAAAATTTTTTTTTTTTCAAATAAAAACTGGTTGGTGTGCTACAAAGAATAAAATGCCTGAATAACTCAACTATGATCAAAGGGGCAGAGGGCACTTTGAGAACTTTCCATTTTCCATTCTAAGTAAGCATAATTATCTTCAACAAAACTTTCTACTGTAGCACAAGAGAAAGCTTTCCAGGTCTGAGCTGGGGCATTTTGAAGATAGGGAACATGTAATTTCAAGTCCACCCTGTACTCACAGACCACAGAATTCCAGTGCTATATAAAATGCTGATACATGTGACCTTGCCCAAACTATTTTAGCAATAAGAAAATTGAGGCCCAGTGCAGCTAAGCAAATTGTCCAAAATCACACAGCTAGTTAGGATAAAACATTTCCTTTCTTTTAACTGGGTTTCAAAAAATTTGTTTCACAGATTGAAACCTTTTATACTTCTATAAATAACATTGCTTTGCAATTTATTCCTTGCACAACAGTCCTCATAAAAGCCTTATTTGAACATGTTAGTTCAGCATAGTCCTTGCATGACAAAGTGGTCAAGTCTTAATAGTAGCCGAGAATGCATTATCAAGCCTTTATTTAGACTGTACAGTCAGGGCAATTCAACTATTAGTCATCCTGACATGTGTTTCAGAACACAACATCCCCATGAATCCTGGCAAAAATTTAATCTACTTCCTGCGCCTTCCCACACCACAACACTTTTCAAATTGCTGATACATATATATAGATATAGATTTAGATACATGTATATTTATTATTTTTCAAATTGCTGATACGTTCATTTAGCAAGTGAGCAAGCTCTTGTAGTGTGGTGGTTAAGGCACTACGCTACCAGATGGTCAGTGATTGGAACTCACCAGTTGCTCCGTGGAAGAACCCAATGGGGGTAGCTATGAGTCCAATCAACTCAATGGTAGTGGATTTGGTTTAGTATATATATATATATATATATATATATACACATATATATATGTGTGTGTGTGTGTGTATGTATATATATATATTGTGTGTGTGTATGTATATATATATATATACATACACACACACACATACATACATATACATATATATACACACACACATACTTATATATACACACACATATATACATATATATATACAAAAGAACTAACAGATCTGTCCTGGAAGAAGTGCAGCGGAGATGCTCCTTGGAAGTGAGGATGGCCAGACTTCGTCTCACCTACTTTGATCATGTTGTCAGAGGGGACCATTTCCTAGAGAAGGATGTCATGCTTGGTAAGGTGGAGGGTCGAGGAAAGAGGGGAAGGCCTTTGACGAGATGGATTGACAACGGTGGCTGCGACAATGGGCTCAAGTATAGCAGAGATCATGGAGCTGGCACGGGATTGAGTGGTGTTTTCGTTCTGCTGTGCATTGGATCGCTATGAGTCGGAAGCAACTCGACGGCACCTAACAACAACATACATACATACATATATATATATATATATATATATGTGTGTGTGTGTATATATATATATATACATATATATATGTATGTTGTTGTTCTGACTCATAGCAACCCCTCCTTGGGTTTCTGAGGCAGTATCACTATGGAAGTAGATTGCCCAACCTTGCTTCCGAGGAGTGGCTGGTGGGTTTGAACTGTCAGCCTTCTGGTTAGCAGGCACTACACTACCAGAGCTCCTATATATGTGTGTGTGTGCGTGTGTCTGTGTATGTATGTATCAGCAGTTATAGAAAGAAAATTGCTTACAATTCCCAATCTGGGATGCATTTAAGCTTCCCCTCTCTGGTTAGAAATTTTAAAAGCAACTAGTGTAAACTCCCCAAATTTAGCAAATTAAGGTAACTGCAAATTCTATTCTAAGGAAAACTAATGTACTTCAGTTATTTCAAATAAAGAATTCTCCTTTGCAGTCAAACTGAGAACAATATTAATAAACTCATTCTCATGGACTTTTTTTTTTTTTTTTTTTTGCCTAAAGCATCCTTCTAGAAAGCACACATTGATTGTACCCTATTACTTCTTATTAGCTTAAAATAAACTGAAAATGGACTTCTAATGGATTAAAAAAAAAAAAAAAACACTGCCAACAAGTTGATTCTAACGCATAACAACCCTCATTGTGTTTCCAAGACTGTAATCTTTACAGAAGTAGACTACTTCATCTTTCTTCCACAGAGCAACTAGTGGGTTTGAACCACCAACCTTGGGGTTAGCAACAGAATGACTTACTGTGCCACCAGAGCACCTTGACAGATGGATCAAATCCCATTAATCCATACAATAAACTAACAAGGACACTAAGATCTAAACCTACTTATTTAGAACATGATTTTCAAAAACAAAAAGCTGCATACTTTATTTTCCAACTCTACATTTTATGCATTTGCTTGGCTTAAAAGAAAAAAAATCAACAAAGATATGAAATCATCCTGTGGTAACACAAATGATCTTTTGCTTCCTGCCCTCTTTTACTAGCTAGCTAGTGAAGCCTGTGGGACTAAGGCCGACTAGGTTGGGGAAAGTTTGGGGAAAGACCTTGGGAACAGCTTCATGGTCTGGCTTCCCTCCTCTATTGTCTCCACCACTCCCCTTGCTATCTTAAGCAAGGTGTGAGTGGCCAGGCAGCTGAAGACAAGCCCTGCTGTTATTGCTTAACAGGAACAAGGTTGCTGGAACACATAGTAGTGAAAGGGTTGAATTCGAGTTTCTCATTGTGTGGATGCCTCTGTGATACATTTCTCCAGTTTGAGTGACAGGAAGATAATAAACAGCAAGTGTTTTCCTCCCGCCGCCCAATGCCTGGTTGTTGTTTTTGTCAGTCTTTGCAGAAGAGTATTCAATGTATTTCGTTGAGAGCCATGTCAGGCTCTTCCTTTCACTTTGGATGCTAAGACAGGGATGGGGTAAGCTGAGAGGAAGGGATATGTGAGACAGGCAAATGGCTCTCAGTGTTACACAATGGAGATTTCCCAAATAGGAAGGCCGAGTGATTAATACAGCAGGAATCTGCCTCAACAACCCCCCAAAAAACAATCAGACTCAAGATGCTGATAAGAATTCTTTTATGTTATTCCAATAAAAAATACATTCATACAGAAATATAACAATCTTGCAAAAAACAATTTCAAATAAAATCTTGTAAAACAAAAAAGGAAAAAAACCGCAAAAAAAAAAGCTAGAAAACAAAACCCACCAAAAAACAAAAAAAAAAAAAAAAAAAAAAAAAAAGAAAAGAAAGATAACGAATAGAAAACCCAAAGGGAAACCACAAGCAAAAAGGACTGACTCAACAACACTCAGTTAGCACCTGAACAGAAGGGACCTCCCCACCCACGCACTTATGACCAAAAGCACACCCACTGAAAAAAAAGCCACCCAACCCCACCAAGACAAACAACTCCAAGGAGAGTACCTAACTAAGACAAACCAGCACAACATATGCCTGTCTTTTTTTTTTTTTTTTTTCTGTCTTTTGTTTACCTTCTTGCTTAATGGAATTGTTATGGCTAAGCACACAGCATGGCCAAAAAAGGAGTTTTCCAAAACCCAGCAAATCAAACGCCTGGATTTTGAATTGCCAAAAGAAAAGTGCATTTCCCTCTAAGCAAAATGGAATGAGTTATTTAGGTAAATGTATTCATCGGATCAGATAAAAAACCAGTTATGTGAGCTTTCATCATTGCTCATTTCCAGGAAGATCAAACAAAATACCAGCACAGCCAGACTCATATGTATATATATATTCTTTATATATACGTATATTTATGTATATATAAAGAAAAGATCCACACCCACAAGCCAACAGCTGGATGAAATATCAGCTGCCCATGCTGTGGGATGCCAATTTGGGGAAATTATTTGTTTGAAAAACTGGGAGACTCTACATGCTGCAAAAAAATAGCTTCATCTGCATAAAAAGTGTTCTAAAAAAGAATCCCTGTAATTAGCTTTCTGTTATTAGATCTTCTAATAAGGCTGAAATTCAAAATCAAAACCAACTAGTGTGTTTGAGTCCAACCAGTGTGCCGGTATTCTGCTTTTTTTTTTTTTAAATGACTCAAGGTACCTTATTCCAGACATGTCCCTGATGACAGCACCAAAGTCAATAGTCTGGAATAGATTCAAAGCCAAGAACGTCTTTAGCAAATCATTAAATTAAAGGTAAAACCTCTATAAAAATTATAGTTTTCATTTTAACCTCCTTTATGGCCATTTCGAAATATTTCTTCACAGGCTGTGGAATTTTCTAGCTAAACATTCTAGTTTCTCCTTAAAAAAAATATTTATATATTATCTATATATATATATATTTATATATATACACACATACACATACTATACACACAAATATACATACACAAGAATTCCACCCACTTTTTAAAAAAAGTAGTATACTTTCTGTATTACCAAGAGATAGCTAGATAGATATGTGAAACTTGTGCCTTTGAAGCAAATACATTATTTTTTTATATTTCTGTATCTTTAATATGTGTGAAAATGTTACATATTAAATACAGCCAGGTGTGTTATCTATACAATTGTTGTGCAAGGTCTATATGACAGTCTCACGGTGGCAGAGTTGGTCAGGCTTTTCCATTATGATGTGTTTTCCATTTTAACACTGACAGTCAAGTTGTCTAAACTATTAAACAAATAGTGACATGTTAAGGGAGTTTTCACCTCTCTATTCGTCTTTGTGAAGGAGGACTGTAAAGAGATTTTTTTTTTTCTGTATTATACATTGATACAGTACAATGCCAGGTGAAAAAAGAGCCTTAATAAAGCATGCATCACCCATACCCCTGTATGAGACCCCCCCATATAAGGGGTCACTTGCATAAGGCACCATTATTAAGGTCAACAGTGCATTAACAGCTAGAAAACCAGAAATTAGTCCTCAAGGCATAAATAAGAGAAACTTAGCTGCATGAGAAAAACAGTTTCTAAGCTTTAGTGGTTTCTTCCACCCAACTGAGAAAAATTTTAGGTTCTTCATCTAATGTAACATTAGACCAGCAATTCCCAACCCTGGCTTTTTGACACCCCAACATGTGTCCAATTTCTTCAAAGGGCATCACAAAATTCTCCAAAAAGGTAATTCAAATACACAATCATTTAAAAAATAATTCTAGGCTGCACAACACCTTTCTAAAAGGGCAGTGTTATAAAATCGAAGGGGGAAAAATTGTGTAATGCCAGGCCAAGATGGCTAGGAATCACCATATTAGACAAATTGTTATCTTAGCTGCTCATTAACTGGAATCAAAATTGCAGTCCTGATTCAAAAATGGAAAAGCATAGAGTTCCCCGGAACCATGCATTACTTTTGTATTATAAGGAAAAGTTATAATTGTGTTATATCTGTAAATACACAGCTTATACAATGGATTACAGATGAGCTCTGTAGCAAGTAAAACAAGCTACTTGACACATTGCACGTTCAATAGCTGCACCAGACACCAAAAGCTCCTCTCACACTGGAGAAGGGCTCCCCCTCCCCACACCCACTCACCACTCAGGGGTCTTGACTGCCCACCCCCGCCCTCCATATTTTTCCTTCTTTTTTTTTTGTTTTATTTCTAAGGTGCAGATACCCCCCCAGGAAATGATTGGTGGTCATTTCATCTCATGGTATACTCCTTACACACAAGACATTCAAACTCCTTTTTTTCTCTCTCTAGCAGTGCCGATATCACAAGGAAAAAAGTCGGCCTCATCATACAGTCAGTAATAGATCCTCAACATACAGTCAACCCACCCATTAACATTCTCAGTGCACATGCTCACGGCAAAGGCTTAGGAGCCACTCAGAAGGTTAGGTACCAGTGACGAGTCCAGGATCACCCAAACATCATGCACCATGGTTGCTATGCCGCTTCTTACATGACTTTTTTAGCCCTCAAAAGACCTTCCAAGTAGAGGTCCTGGAGGCAACTGGGTAGGGTGCAAAATGGCATGCTTTGGCTGGAACACGCATCCCTCCTTCCAAGGCTGGGTCTCAGCCTTGACGCCTTTTAGCCCACAGGATTCACCTCTCTGCTCACTCAGAGGTGTCTCTTCATGTGAAGGGCCAGGTGATCAGACCTGGAAAAACACCTGCAAGAGGAAATAAAAATACAGTAAGTTAAGTGGACATTACTCCTTTTGCTTCAGGACAAACTGTCTCACTTCCCCATATGATCAACTCTCAAACTCCACTGGAAACAAAGGTGGGAATCTTCTCTGATTCATTAAAAGGTTTTTCAGGGACAGGAAATGTCAAGTTATGAAATATAAGCTAAAGGGGGTTTAAACCAGCAGCTGCTGAGTCCTCAGGAAAACCTTAACCTTCAAATTTGAAAACTGTTGAAGGGCAATCTTCAAAAAATATAAAAGGAACAACCTTATTTGCACACACATGTAGTACAATCCTTCCCAATGTGGAAAATCAGTATATTAGACTTTTTTTTTTTTTTTCCAAGTCTTAGATCTGAAAAAAAATGTCAATCAACTACAAGGTGAACAACTCTTCTTCCCAACATTTACTACACGTGTACTAGATTCTGGTTATTGTGTGTGTAACCTGTACCTACGCCTCTTTGTAAGTATACCAAACCAAACCCACTGCCATCGAATCGGATCCGACTCACAGCGACCCCTCCTTAGGTTTCGGAGGCAGTATCACTACTGAAGTAGATTGCCCAACCTTCCTTCCAAGGAGTGGCTGGTGGGTTTGAACGGCCAGCCTTCTGGTTAGCAGTCAAAATGCCTTACGCACTATGCCACCAGAGTTATAGACAGACCTCTTTCACATACCTGTCACAGTGAGAACATTTAAAAGGCTTGGCACCAGTGTGCTTTCTGAAGTGTCTGGTTAACTCATCACTTCTTGCAAAACGCCACTCGCATCCTTCCCATGAGCATCTGTAAGGCTTTTCTCCTATAAAGAAAGCACATGACAAGTTAGCCATGACTTCATTGAAACAGTGAGAGAATATGGGCATTACAACAACAGTGTTTGAACAGCAGTATGCAAATTAATTCAATTACAAGTCCAGGGTCTGAGGGGCCTCAGGAATTCATTCTATACTACAGTAAAGGGAGGCAGGCCATAACCTGGTAACCAGTATGTACTCTTTTCTGCCCTGGCCTTAGTACTCCATGTTATAGAAGTGACTCCAGGTTTGGCAAAAGCTCCATTACTGCAATCAAAGTGAACATGTAAGAATGACAATTACTCAGATTGGTGAAATACTTCTGAGATGATGTGTCAGCCGACTGGACCAACAACCTTGTCAAGGGCAGAGTTTTATTGCTTTCTCCATGGAAACTGTTTCTCTCAAGTATTTATTTTGTTCCTTACTCACTTCCCTGTGGAATGAGTCTGTGTAGTTTCCTCTGGGACTTTCTACATTTCTCTAAAACTGAAGTCATGAGTTTCCGTGAAACCCCACTCCAAGGGTTTCAAATAACTTTCTAAATGGCAATCAAATGACCAAATGAACTTTCTTCCCTGGTCAAATTACAGATGTAAATTCCATAAAAGGCTACCTGATAATATAAAAAATTTCAAAAACTGTTCATAAAATGTGATATTGAGACAGACACTGGCCTGATTTGTGGAATTCTGGGTCCTAATCTCAGCTCTGCTAGCAACGTGTTTCATGCCCCTAACTTGATCCCTTGGGGATTGGCTTTTCGTTATTTGTAAGAGAGGAGTCTGAATGAGTTGATCTGAGATCCTTCCCAACTCTAAAATTTCTGTGACTCTTAACCAATGATCCTAGAAACTGCCATAGTATTTTAAAATGGAACTTCTCAATGTTGTAGTAGGCCACTAAGATTTCTTTTTAAGTGGAATCAGTAAACAAAGGCTGCACAACACACAGTGCTATGAACAGAGAAATTCTCAATAAATAGCCCTTGATCAATACTGCTTCTTACAGAGCACATCTATCATGCTCAATCCTCACACTCTCACTGTAAACAGGAGTGAGCTCTACGTCACCTGAGACTGTCTGTTCTGACCCTCAAGTTTCATTTCAAAATACTGACAACTCTAGACAACATTATCCATGGAAAATGGTTGAAAGTGGAAAATAAACCCGTAACAAACTGGAATGCTAGGGTGGGTGGAAGATTGAATATAGATGGAGAATGTGATTTAGCTTCTTGTTTGTTTAATCTGCAAGTGTTAACCATTCATACGGCACAAATGTCTAGTCTTTAAGATTCTACTCTGTCCTCCAAAAAGATCCAGGTCTTTCATGGAAAGAATGAGGAAGTGAGTTTGTGAATACTGGTAAGGCCCTGCTATGACGCATCATTCAAAGCACTGGGCTCTCACCCAGCACTTGTGTAATTCAATGACAACACCATCATTGGGGTATTCAGCTCCAGCGGCCCCAACTCCTTTGGCACACATGAGGTTACTGACCTGTATGAGTACGCTGATGTGCTTTCAAATGGGAGCTTTTGGTGTAAACTTTTCTGCAGCCATTGAAGTGGCACCGATGGACTCTTCTCCTGCCATCTGGGGAGGCGTCACCACTACCCTTGTCACCAGGCTTTCCCACAGTCCCACTACGGATTTTACCCGGTGAATGTAATTCCCCGGGTATACAATTCCACAGTTGAGAAGGTTCTCTGCTCAGTTCTGGAGAAGAAGGAGGAGTGGAAGTGACAGAGGAGCTCAGATTTCCTGAATTGACTAAAACTTCGCCTATTGGATCAGAGGTAAATTTAGTAGTAGGTGAAAGTTCCTCGGAGCTGTCAGATGATTCACTGCTCAGATCCGAATTTAAGCTGTTGGTCTCTAAATTGTAACTAAAACTCGGGCTGATTAGAGTGTCCTCTTGAGGACTGGAAGAAATCTTCAGTTCAGATTCCTCCTTTTTCTCCCGAGCCAGAATGATTTTGGTCCACAGATCTTCCTGGCTGTCAAATTTGATTTCTGATGCTGACACATAACAGGGTTCACTCTGGAGGTAACGTTCCAATTCTAGGCAAGTCTGTGCAAAAGGAACCAAAAAGAGGGATGTGATTGTTACAAGTGCTAAAAATGGAACTGAAAGCACATTTCCAAACACATGCAGGAATGAAAGAACAAATAAATTGTTGCAGTATCACTGCGGGTGGAAAGCCTTTCACATAATTAAGAATTGGTGTCTTTCTTGAAGTTGGGAGAAATTTGTTTCTAGGAATTACAGGTAAGAATTCAGAAGGAGAAAACAGAGGGTGAAACCTCTCTTGGCTTTTCAAATATTGGACTAAGGACCAAAATGAGTGATGATCACTGAGCCAGTTTCTGCTATAGTTATCAGTGTTGACATTTCTAATGAGTTTCCCGTAAACCACACAAAGAAAGCCAGTCTCACACACATACACCCCCAACAGGTTTAACCAGATTATCTGACAGTCTCAAGAACCATCTTTATTAAAGAAAATCAAAGCCATTCACCCTTCACATGCTGACATATATTCATACAACAGGACAGAAAGACAGCACTGCACGCAATGTGGTCCGACTGATTCCCTTGAAAACGGAGCTGACAGCACAATGCCACACTGGAGCATGACAGCAGCTAGCTGACAATCTGTATTCAGTGGCATCAATGGAGTTGCAGATAAACCACCCATTTCCTGTGTATCAGAAACCTAAGAGGCTTTCAAAGAATGTCATTTCCAAGTGCAGGGCCATGCACGCCATCAAACTTTAATGACTTCTACAGTGGTCAGAGGAAAACAAGGAACTTCAACAACAAGAGTGTAGAAATCATTCCAGAAGAGCCATATGCTATTGTAAAGGATGCAAGAGGGGAAATTACACCATGGCCCTGCTGGGAGTCCCACAATGAACAAGAACTTTATCTACTGGCCAAGAGTACAACTGTATGAGTCATCACTCTATTTCTTTCACGCAATGCCAAAGGAGACTTCCTTTTGAAATTCTGACCAATGGCCAAAAAAGTACTTGGTTCAAATATACATGCAGTGTGTCATGTACAGAGTGGGCCCCCTCCCCAGCCCCCCACAACCAACCTTTCAAGAAGCTACAACTGCCGAGATCAGCATCCCCTCTCCCCACCATCTCAAACTTTCTAGCCACTGGAAAAGAAAAATGGTAGGAAACATTTTAGGATTAAATTATTTCTTCCCTCATTTTCACCAGGATTAGTTGCCTATATGTCCATATAAGGTTGTCTATAAGGCTGGCAATTCCACACATGTAAATGGCTACACCAAACTCTGCTCTTTTTAGCAAATCATTTTTATGACAGATTAACCTTCCCGGCTTTAAGCAAAGCCTTTCCATCCAGAGCTCACTCTTAGCGATGTGCCTTCTTGTCTAATATTGTACATGTTCTTCCCCCTTCCTCACAGACTCGTCATACATCAAGCATGAGCAAGCAAGGGGGAAAAATTACTGTTTTCTCTTCACACCTCACATTAGACATCTGAGTTGCAGGGCATTCAAACATACTCTGAAGAAAGACAACAATATATTTTATTGATGTTTCAAGGAAAAAGGAAAGCACGTTTATTGAGATCTTGTTAAACTTTAATAATCTGGCTAATTTAAAATCTCCATTATGTAGTGAGCACTAGGGACCAGAATCAAGCTCTTGGTGAGTTTAAATGCCTCTAAAGGCAACCAGGAGCCAAGTCTGGCTTTTTGCCCAAATCCCAAATGCCTGAAGAAAACTACTTAGATCAATTTCAATCACGTACTATGGAGCAGCTTCTTTGAGGAGGAAAAAGGGGGGAGGGGAAGAGTAAGGCAAGAGAGGATTGTGAACAATTAAGCAGGCTGGTGAAGGTTGTATGTAACACTTTGCATTTCATCTGCCTTAAAAGCTTTCTAATCTTTGAAAGTACCAGAATATATTTGATTTGGTAATTCGCTTGGTGACAAAAAGCAAACAGCACAGAATACACCAAACTCTCCTTATATCTTGTTAAAGACAATGGGACAAGTGTCAGGGTCTGTCTCCTCTCCGGCAACCCTACAGACTAAAGGCGTCAAGAAATAACTTTCTTAAATTCCCAACGTCAAAAAAACCCAGTTCCACTAAAATGCCGGAAACCGAGGTTCTTCTTCCCAAACTAAGACTTGAAGCAATTAATACAGGCTCATTGTCATATGACTGACAAGTCACCGGTTGTGCAAACATGTTTGTTTTTTTTTTTCTCCTGGTCAACAAGAGAAGCAGGTAAGAAAAATAAGGCACTCTTAGGCAAATCTTAGGGATTCCAAAAAGGGAAACGACATTGGAAATGGCATAGGAAAAAAGAGCTGATACCTATTTTCACTGGCAAAATTTTAAATTTAAAAAGTGTATTACAAACACCAGAACGCAAAACAAAAACAAAATCCCTTAAAAAAAAAAAAAATCCCTTGGCAGTAAAGGCAAGTTCATATGACAAGATCCAGCTGTGGAGTTTGGACCTGGTACAGCAAAAAACTTCTGCCAAGAGCTCGGTACGGGATCGAGCGAAAGCAAAGCTGAGGAGTTTGGCGTTCCACTCTGGTGGTTGCTGCTTAGAAAGATCCCAAACGGCAAAAACACTCTCCCAGCAACTAACGAATCCTTGCTCGGTTTTACTTAAATGACAACTCCGCTTCAGGTTGTAAAACGCCGTTTCAAGTGCCTTCGGAACCAGAGGCATTAAAACTAAATTTCAAAACTAATTACCTTCATTTTAAAAATTACCCAAACGATAATTTTAAATAATAATAATAATAATAATACACCTCCAATCACACACAATCTTAATATTTTTCCTCCATCCACTCCTTCCTCAGTGTACCAGGGACACTGGGCATTCTTTTTAACTCAGCGCTTTGTATATTAAAATCCCTATTTACCTGTTGCCAATATTCTTCCAGGGATGGTAAAGCTGAGAAGTAACCCGTTTCATGCACAATCTGGAGTTCCTGGAAGATGCTGCACATTGGGAGTACATCCATGTCGGGTTGGAAAATAAAGTCAATTCTGTTGTAAAAAATAGGGAGGTGTGTGGTCTGTAGTCAGAGAGATGTAAAACTCTCTCCCGAAATCACAAGAGTCAATTCCTGCAGAGGAGGTGAAAGTTTCATGCAAACTCAATTGCACAGCAATTAGACGCCTCAAATTCGGATTCTCCTGGATCACAGAGACTTGCTCAGGAACCTACACAATATTTGCAAACACTGAACTGACTGCAAACGTAACCCCTGCAAAACTTCCCTATTCAAAGCTCTTCTGCCAGCCTCTCCCCCCTCCCTCCTCCTCCTCCTTCTGTCTTGGCTCCCCCCACTTCTCCCCTCCCCCCACGTGACTAGCTCTGCGCTGGCTCTAAGAGCAGCCCAATAGCGACGCACCCATCCTGGAAGTTGAGCGCCTATGATGTCAGCTTCGACCAATCGCCGGCTGCAATACACAGCTGCCCCGCCTGGCGTGACCGAGCCTCTCCATCACAACCTTTACTATTGGCTCAATTCGAAATTTCCCCGGGTCTGATTGGTAGATGGCCTCACAGGCTATTTTTAGCAACGTATATAAGGCGCGGGTTCCCGAGCTGCTGGAGGAGTCGGTACTGTGTGTTATATCAATCGAACAAAGTTTCACTGCTGGCCGTGGCCGCTGCGAGCGTGGCTGAGCCACGGCCGACGAGGAGGAAGCTGCGGCCGCCCTGAGTTACAGGAGAGCCGCTGGGCTCCGTCGCTTTCATTTCTTCTAACTCCTTCCCTAGCCCCAGTCACACAGCTACCGCATTATCGCTAGTTCCCAACAAAGCACCTCCCCAGGCCAAGCCGCTCCGTTGGCTCCCCGGCGCGCCTCGGAGCGCTCAGCGGGCTAAGGGCGCGGGGCTTGCAGTCGGCCTTGGTGCGCTTCACCCGCGGCCTCCCGCATCCGTTCCGCGCGGGGCTCGCGGGCTCCCCTAGGGCTGCAGCATGGTAAAAGCACTGGCAAGCGCCCCGCGTCCAGAGCCGAGTTAGCTGGCTCCTCCGGCGGCTCCCAGCGTACTGGCTAGGGGCGGCCGGGTCTGCCGGCCGTGTTGATAGCTTTACGAAATGAAAAGGCTGTGGATGAGGCGGAGTAGAGAAAACGGGGACGAAAAGGAGACTTAAGCAGGCGCCCCAGCTGCGGTGGAAAGGGTCTCATGATTTCCAACAGATTTTGTACAAAGGGGGCAAGAACGTTAGGTCTGTCGGGACCACCTTTGTAAAGTGCATTAAATCGCTGGGACAGATTGTACTTGAACCTTTGGAATACGATGTGAGTTGCGGACAAGGGCAGTATAAAAAATACTTCTTTTGAATGTCTCTTTAAAATGTTCAACTGACACTAGGGGTTTACAAGTGTGAACTGAACATACTCTAAAAAGAACACAGCCCCAACACCTGGGCTAGCTGGCTCCTGGGATCCAGGAACCTCAAAGTGTATTGAAACCCAGTTTATTAGCTGGTAGGACGGTTAGCAAGGTTAGGCAACTTGTTGGCAAAAAAAGGCAAAACAACTGGCAAGACTAATTTTTGGTCGGCTAATCCTCCTGGTGGATATGAAAATAAATTCTTGGTTTTACACTCTGATTGTGCAGGAATAGATTTTGCCTTTAAAAAAGAAACGACCCATAATTGGCACTCCAAGTCTGGTCCTGGGACTATAACAGCGTTGGCATCACCTGAAGCTCGGGGGGAGGGTCTAGCAACTGTGTTTTAATAAGCCCTTGGGGAGATTCTGATACAGGATAAAGTTTGAGAATCACTGACCCATAACTTAAAAGTTCCCTTGCTACCAGTCCCCTGGTTACAAAGGAGATCCATTTCTAAGTGTGTCTTTAAGTCTATGTAAGTCTGTAAGTCGAATTTGTAGGAATAGGTTCTTATTTATCCCTATTTTAGTGCAAAGTAAGAAGGTCTGGTGACTTTGTGATAAAGTAAACCAAAAGGTCAGTGTTTTGAACTCACCAGTTGCTCTGCAGAACAAAGATGAGGCAGTCAGCTTCTGAAAAGATTTACAGTCTTGGAAACCCTATGGGGCAGTTCTACTCTGTCTTATAGGGTCACTGGGAGTCAGAATCCACTCAGTAGCAGTGGGTTTTTTTGTTGTTGTTGTTTGCTTGTTTGTTAGTACAAGAAAAGCCTCAAAGCCTTTTCAATGCTTTAAAATCTTCAGGTGCAGCAAATGAAGGTGATTGTGATGAAGAATTTATTGAGAATAGGGGTTGGTTCAGTCCTTTCAAAGTGAGCACAAATTCATATCACATTAAATGGCAGGTAGGAGTTGTCCTTAAGTCAGACATTCCTAACTGGGGCTGCCTGTACAACACTTCTCACTGTATGAAAATGCAGAGTATACTTTTAATTGGAAGAGATCTGTTTATCTTGTAGTATAGCAATGCGTCTCAAAGGACACCCTCCAAGGTTAACAAGTAGGTTTTTCCTGTGAATGTGTAAACAATTTAAATTAGGTTGAAGCCAAAATTCAATGTGTATTTTTCATATAAATTGTCTCCTAACATACACCATTGTGTTCATTTTGAAGAGAAAGACCAAGAACATGAAGAGTGTGCTTTTTTAAATTCAAAATGGAAAATTGCTACCATTATAATTTTTGGAGCCCCTGGGTAGTGCAAACCATATGTGCTTCAGTAATAGTGGGAAGGTTGGTCATTCATACCTACCCAGATACACCTCAGAAGTAAGGTTGGGCAATCTGCTAGGAAAAGGTCACACCTCTGGGAACACTAGGGAGCACAGTTCTCTCACACATGGGGTCTTCTTGAGTAGCAACAATAACAGTTATCATTTTTATTTCAAGATAGAGTTTTCTGCACATCCTTTGAAAAACTTTTTAAAAGAATGCATATGAAAAAGAATTTTGAGAGGATTTTGAAGGACTAGAGTATGCCATGATTATGATCCAGTAGGATTCTAGGCAGAAACCTTTATTTGTGAGTCACAAATTCTAAAAGATCATGATTTCATTGCAGTTACATATAAGGAGCTCTAGTGATGTAGTGGATAAGGTATTTGGCTGCTAACCAGAAGGTCAGCAGTTCAAACCCACCAGCCACTCCACAGGAAGATGAGGCAATCTACTTCTATAAAGACTTATAGCCTGGAAACCCAATGAAGGACACTATGAGTCAGAATCGACTTGGTGGCAATGAGTTTGGTGTTTATTATATATACTCTGTGAAGATGACCCAAAATGAAGTAATAAAAATTATTGTTGGAATGTGTCTACCATATTTGCGTTTCAGTGAATTGCTTAATATAACCTTTCTAGCCATAATCTTTGTAACTCCCAACAGTTAACTGGGTTGTTTTGTTGTTATGTGCCGATGAGTCGGACCCAACTCATAGCGACCTCTCCTTGAGTTTCTGAGGCAGTATCACTAAGGAAGCAGATTGCCCCATCTTCCTTCTGAGGAGTGGCTGGTGGGTTTGAACCGCCTGCCTTAGGACTATGTAAATGAGGTGTTTTGGCCCACCGAGGAGATTTGGTAGTCTGCTAATAATGTATTTATGGTGCATGGCATCCTTGTGGGAGTGATACCATCCAAATTAGATATATGGAAATCCAACAAGAGGATTGGTTACTTTCACTATTCTGCTAGGCTTAAAGGCAGAGGGAGACGGGCGGGGGTGGGGTGTGGGACAGTGGCCCTGCAACAAGGAAGACAGTGAGACATGGTAGCACACTGATTAAAGAAAATGACAGCAAGATGTCAGCAGAGCCTGGTGGCAGAGGAGAGGAAAAACCGTCCTGATCAAAGAATTGCATTCTGAGTTGTTACTTCCTAGTTGAGCCCCAGATCCCAAGTTGTATTCTGTTACTTCTCTAATAAACCACTTAGCTGTAAGTGCAGTTCATGAGTTCTGTGAGGCGATGCAGCAAATTACCAAACCGAAAAATGAGAGAGAGTACTGAGAGGAGAGGGAGTATTTGATGTTAGAGATGATGGCCTGGTACAGCACTTTGAAAAAGTTGGACATTTGGTACATCTTTAACCTCAGCTTTGTAGGAACCAGCTTTGTGCTGATCCTTATTTAAAATATTATTCATTTAGTATTTTACCTGTGAGACAAGGAAGCATGCCTGGCTTTCCATAGGTAAGATAGACACTGTGACAGGATCACAGAAGGTTAGAGTTGCTCATATAAGTGTGAGGTAAAAGATAAATCTAGTTACCCTTACTACGTGTGTGACCTTGCTCATGTTATTTAAATAGGAGGTAAAACTGTCTATTAGAGTTAGTTTGCTGAAATTAAAAAATCGTGTAATCAAATCCCTACTTTGTGATAAATTGTAGTCATTCAATAAGTTGAAAGCAATACTCACTTATTCAATGTTCATTGACCTCTAAATTTGCTCTTCTATTTATTTTATAGGAGCTCTGGTGGCATATAACACTCTTCTCTCCTCTTTTTGTTTTGTTTTGAACAGATGAGTAAACTCCAAAAGTGAAATGAAATCACCTTTGCGGGTCACACTGCAAGTTAGAGGCAAAGCTGAGTCTAAAATTAGGACCAATGACTTTGGAAGAGACTCTGCCACACTACACTGAAGACTCTTGCTCTCCTCCAGGCCTTTTCTCACTCTCTCAGTTCATGGAGAGAAAATAATAAACTCCACTTTGCATGATCCTTGTTCTCTGCCTGTCCCCTGCTGCTCATCTCCTCTCTCAGTCATCGGCACATCATCTTCAGAGGCTCAGGACCATCATTCTGTGTGACTACCGTCAGCTCATTTTCACATACCTGAATGATGTGTCTCATTGTTATTTTCTGTCTTATATCCCTGTGTCATTTCCTCACATTCCCACCCTTTATTTTCATTCCTGCTTCTACTTTCTTTTCTTCAGTTCTCATACTTCGGATGTATACTCATTTATTTTATAGCACTAAGATCTTTTTTTTTTCTATGCTTAGTAAACAAATCTATTATTTAAAATACAGTTTACATTTTAAACTCAACT